ATTACTCATGAGCTTCCGGAAGAGCAATCCGATTCCTAGATTTCAGGTTCAAATTCCAATACACTCATATATGCTGGAAATATGAGCCAATGGGTAAAAAACTAACTCTTCCGTATAATTCGGAACATTCTAAGCTGGTAAAGCGAGGAATCGTAAAATTATGTCTAAACAAGTGTCTTCAAAAATCGTGCGAGCACTCTATTTCTGTAAGCTTTGATGCGCAAATTTCAAGATTAACATCTGCCGGATATCCCATCTCGTTATTAACATCGATTGCAGAGAGCATCTTGAAAACAAAAAATAAGGGAACATCTGTCACACCAAGAGCCAGAGATAGAGCCACGAGACCTGTCGTTCTTCCCTACTTCCACAGGTTCTCCCATGGAATCAAGAAAATCGCTAACAAGTTCAACATTAGACATGAGGAAGATACATAGAAGGGCGGACGGACAACGAAGTCTTCGTTGTCCGTCCCCACTTCTATGTATCTTCCTCATGTGTAATTACCGTTACCAACACGCTCGTTTTGTACTTAAGAAGTTCAACATCAACGTCGTCTTCTCTGCTCCTAATAAGCTTGCCAACTTATGCGAACAGCTTCGTTGAGTGCGCCGAGGAAGTGGTGTACTCATTTCCCCTTTCGTGCGGGAAAGTGTGCATAGAGCAGACCGGACGATGCCTTAATGATAGGCTCCGTGAACACAAAAACAACAGCACCAGAGCTAACTCTGGCCATCTAGGCATACACTGCCGTGATTGTGGGTGCGACGTTCACCTGCCTTCCTGTACAATTTTAGGTAGGGACAGTAACCAATTAACTAGAGAAATTATGGAAGCTGAACATATCGCCAGGGATTATTAAAACTGTATTAGTACACTTTAAACTGTAGTAGTATCTTTACACCTGACAGAAAGAGAGAAAAACATTTTAGGCGTCTAGGAGATCGGTGCTCGTGATTCGGGAAATTCGGTACTGCAAGAGGTAGAAGACAAAGTATACTTTGTCTTGTGCCTCTTGCACTACCGAATTTCCCGAATTTCCCATTTGTCTTCAACCTTTTGCACTACCGAATTTACCGAATTTCCGGAATTTCCCGTTTTTTTATATATATATATATAAAAACGAGTTGTTAGTCAGCGCAATTTGTTTGAATTTCGCCTTATTCTTCGTGTGTAAGGAGTGAGTGTTGTTCGCTATAGTGTGCTGTAGTGTGTGTAAAAATCAGCAACCAACTCGCCCAAGCTGCTACGTAAACATGTGGAACGTTGGACGGTACACTTTTTTTTTTCATAGTAGCATAGGACGTTTTTAGTTAGTTTGCATTAGTGCCCTGGTACATGTACTGACCTTGGACATCGTTGCAACACACGTTTATAGAGTTCGCAGCGTCGCCACGGGATGGCGCCACAACCCCTAGCAACCGAAGATCGCCGGCGGAGGGGGGGTTACAGGGTTGCCAATTTAGCGGTTTTTGGTTCTGTTTAGCGGGATAAATTATTGTTTTGCGGGTGGCGGGAATTTTAGCCGTTTTTTGTAATCTTGGCGGTTTCTTAGAGATACAGAAGTTTTGTATCAATTTACTGTCAGCTATACACTTGTCGTATCCATAATCCGCCACAGTCGTCGTTGTTTACACTCAGTAATCTTCTGGTTAGTGAGAGTAATGGCTGTAACGTCATGAAAACATTAAGGTGTCAAATATCGGAACATGCCTCCCTGTTTTGTCTGCGCACGTTTGAACAGCATAAATTTCCAATGTTCCTTTGACGTTTGTGTGACTGCGTCGTGCAATGGGCCCGGTGAAGTCCGCTCATAAGTTTAGAAAAGCCTTGCTACAAGACGCCAAACTAAAAGGCTCCCTACTGGAGGTTCCTTGTGATAGCAGACGAACCAGGTACAGCTATTGCAGAACGGAACTATCTGCACAGCACGTGGATTTGGTCGCGCACGCTGCAACAAAAAAGCATGTCTCGGCCGCTGCATCTTTCTCCTCTGGCAGGCAGACGACGTTACGAGTTGAACGGAAGTCGAAGTCTGACCAGTCACGCACTGCTGAAGAGTCCCAAGCCATGTTCGTATGCGCCCACACCACAATTTTGGCTTCGTATCACCTAAGTGAACTCTGTCGCGGCGTGATAGATTTCTAGTCACAACAAAAGGAAAGCTTCCTTTCAGATGACATTGATATGTTTTGGGCAAGGATTAAAGCAAAAAAAATATTGTTAAAAATTCATTTTTGCGCTGTGTTTTGGATTTAGCGGTTTTTAGTGGTTTTCGGGATTCCAATTGAGGGTTTTCAATTTTCGAGTTGGCAACACTGGTGGGGAACGACGAGTGTATCACAGGGGTGCTACATTGCTGAAATTGATCCCGTATGCCTTCTTTTGGTGACGCTTTTGTTTTGGGCAGACACCGAGACTGAGTGACTAAAGAAATAATTGAAGCATTTATTTCTTCGTTGGCGGACAGATGGTGTGAGCCATCGGTGGTGTTATACGATGAGTTATCATACCTTCGGTTTAACATGAGTGCCAATTTCTAAGGCGATATTTCTGCGGCCTCTAGTTGCCTGGTGGGCGACTGTTTTAAACTGTGTATGTGTAATTTCTTTAATAAGATTTCTTTGGGAGCCGATTTCCTGTCGTGTTCGTTTCTTGTTCTTCGTCTGTGTTTACTGAGGATGTATTTGATCATGTTTAACTGTTACCAGCTATCCCAATTCGCAACTCTACCTCATTTCGATTATATATATATATATATATATATATATAACTGAGAAGAAAAGAAAACCCTTAGTGAAAACAGCAACAACCGAAGGTTTATCCTTCGAAGTTTCGGCCGGAGTCCGGCCTTCCTCACTCTCAGAAAAAAAGGTGTATTATTACACCCCTTGTCCCATATAATACACCCCAAAACTTCAATTCGACGTACAACGCCCCATGATCGAACAGGCGGCCCCAAAGTTTACGAGGGGCTTGATAGCCGTCTGGTACAACTTATTATGATAGCTGATGTACGTATTATTGAATACAAAAAACATTATCGGAGTTTTCTTGGCCGTACTGCAAAAGCTCAGTGTTTTCTTTCTTTGGTCTTTGATAGGTACTACATAAATTTAATAAGTTATATGGCACCGTTATCAAGCCCCTGGTAAAATGTGGTGCCGTCTGTTCGACTATAGGGCGCTGTATGTCGAAATGAAGTTTTGGGGTGTATTATATGGGACAAAAGGGTGTAAGGTGATACCCTTTTTTTTTAGAGTGAGCTGACGAAGGCCGGACTCCGGCCGAAACGTCAAAGAATAAACCATCGGTTGTTGCTGTTTTCACCAAGGGTTCTCTTTTCTTCCCAGTTATATACCTACGCCTTCGGCCCCCCGCCACCATGCCCGTTATATATGGACCGACACGCTGTTTCCAAACAAGGCCGCGTTTGCCCACACACACTGCGCGTGCGCAGCAACCTAATTCGGGAGGAGTGAAGCGTCTGCGCAAGCGCAGTGCCGTCGACAGCGCCGCCGCATCTGCGTGACGTCAGGGCCGCGTGTTGGTCTCTCTCTCTATATATATATACAGGGTGTTTCAGAGAACGCAGGCCAAATCGCTTCTGCAAAAACTACTGATCACAATGAAAAAAGGCTTGTGGCGTTTTGGTCGTGGGCCAGGGGCCCATTTAAGAAAATGTTAAAGTCCGGGATAATTAACTTGTTAATTATTTTTGCTTAATTAAATTTTAATATTGTGTTTAAGGGCATGGTTTAAATGAGAAAATTGCTCAGCATCATCGAAAACCACTAAATCAACAAATTGCAGAACTATAGAAGGCACGCGAAGCATTTTACGGCTTTCTGAAACACCGCACAAAATCGACGGGTGTTAAAGTTTCGGTTTGTTATCGGAGCGCAACTCCGCCCCGACTGCACCGCGCCCCGCGAAGAGATAGTGCAACCAACCTCTGCTGCGCTGTCATCGCGCGACGCAGCAGACTCTGGTTGCACTATCTCTCCACGGGGCGCGGTGCTTCCGCGGCCAAGATCCGCTCCGATAACAAACCGAAACTTAAAAACCCGTATTATTTTCGCAGTTTTTCAGAAAGCCGTAAAATGCTTCGCTTGAGTTCTATCGTTCTGCAATTTGTTGGTGTTGTGGTTTTCGATGATGCTGAGCAATTTTCTAATTTAAACCATTCCCTTAAACACAATATTATAAGGTTAATGAGGCAAAATAATTAACAAGTTAGTTATCCCGGACTTTGATAATTTGCTTAAATGGGCCCCTGGCCCAGGACCACAACGCCACAAGCCTTTTTTTCGTCGCGATGAGTAGTTTTCGCAGGAGCGATTTGGCCTGCATTCTCTGAAACACCCTGTATACGTTGGCACACGCCTAAATTAGGCAATACAAGGCGTCTCCTGGTAATACGCCAGAGAAACGCCATGTTTGGCTCAATCTCGGAAAACCTAGGAGTCTAACTTGGGCCCAATAAAGCTTGCTCTAGTGCGTTAATTAGTGCTAAAGTATTCGTTTATACATTTTTGTGCCCTTTTTCTTGTATGTCACATCATTGCCAAAGTTTTTTGAGCCAAAAAGCTGGGTATCAAGCAAGCAAGCAGCAGTAAAACCTGATTCTAGCATTTTTTTTTGCCGGTTTAGAGCCAAAAACTACGGCCAAAGAGGAATATAAAGTTTAGTCATACCTCGAGTACTAGGGACTGTCAGTGCCCTAACTTGCCAGACAAATAACAAATCTTGTCCCCCAGAAAACGTGCTACCTTGGTTAAAAATTGATGAAGATAAAAATATTGATGCATAAATATTTTACAAAGTGCCTTCGCTTTCAGCACGTGAATTTATTCAAAGTGTGTATTTTCTAAACTATGAGGCTGCCGAAGCATTGTGTTGACTAACCTAAAGCGAATATTTATGGAAGACACATTATAAGAGGTGTGAAGGGGAATGGGATTTAACTTTTCAGTTCACCTCTATAATTGTGTTTACAGGGAAACCCCCGAAATTCGAAGTCGTTTATCCGAATGTCCTGGAAACAAGAGACCTTACGAGTGACAAAGTGCTGCAAGTTAAAGATGGACTTGTCCTACAGTTAAAAAAGAGTTCCATACTCTCAGAAAACTTTGTTCTAACGGACCTCAGTGGCAAGATCCCAGTCGAGACTCGAGTAAGCTCAGAATTTTAAACAACTTTTACCTATATAAGATAACCGTTAATCACACGTACATAATTTTTAAATGATATACGTATAGTTTCTTAGAGACGTTTTACTCGAGGAGCGCTTGAAACCACGACCAGGATATAATGTAGATGATCAATTTTATGTAATTCTGTAGGCGCTTTGCTATTTAGTAACTTGTGAGGAGTTGTAATGATCTTATAATTAAGATGAAACTCTTCAGAAAGCAGCATTACAATATGCGCCACAACGTACTCAGGTCCTCTTAAATGATGGCTGCATCCGATTTAATCGATGAGAAGCATACTTGATGAATTAATATAATTTTTTTTAAATGCATGTTATTGACCAAGAGCTAGGCCTCTTTCGCAACGAATGGTGTTAATAACAAGCTTAATAAATTGTTACTTGCACTGAAAAGAACACGTGGCACTAGCTTGCCTTTTCCAGAAAAGCAACCAGGAACCCATAATTAACACTAGGAATTTAAACTCCTTCCAAAATGTATGCAAATTCTTTTTTCTCAAACGTGAGTAAGCAAATACTACGTGGTATCGGAGTTTGAAATCCAGTTTATTTATCCGATGTCAGCGGTACACGTGGTTATTCTTATAAACCGTGCATTTTCTTCCCTCAAGCCAACTAGCTCACAATTTCACATTCCTTTGAAAATTTTCACATTGACTGCAAACGTCCAAAACATTTTAGCTGTATATGTCAGGGGTCTCAAACTCGTTCGAGTGTGGGGGCCAGATAGCCCATCCCCCGAAAGGTCGAAGGCCAGCGTAAGGGATGGGTGGGGGGTTAGAGGATTTTATTGAGAAGGGAGCTTCTGCTCTCGGGTTTTTGTTAACTCGTAGTTCAGGAGTGACATCTTTAGCTTTGATTTATTTATGGGATTACTTTGGGTGCTTACCTGATATAATAACTCGAATTAAAACGGCTCCACCCCAAAACCGCGCTTCCATTTTTAATGCAAGAGAGCAAGCACGCTGTCGTTCCCGTTGCTCAGTTCTCTATGGAATTATTCCAGCTAAACATGTGCCGAAATAAATATATGATACGAAAGATTTTGCTTTACTAGTTGTTTGTATAGCTAGTAGGATTTTGAAAAAAAAAAGCTTGTCTTTTAAGCGTGTTGATTTTCGAAGATGAGAATCTTGAACTCCTAGGATTGTTTATGATTGCGAAACAGGGACATTGAAGAGAAACAGGCAACACTGGCTTTCGATTTTGTGAGTTTGAACAGAACGTTTACTGGTTTGTCTTCGCCTCCTGAAGCTCAACGGGGGACGTCACGAAGGTAGAGAGGAAGGGTAGTGAATGAGAGAAGCGTGAGCCATGTGGCGATGTCCGCAGCTATGCGTGTACGGCGGAAGGTGGGAGTCTGCTCTGTGTCATTTGACACGTCACCGTTACAGGGAGGCCCAGGTGTCGGTGGTGCCTTTTTGGGGAAGGTTAGAGGGCAGAAGGACACGGACAGGAGAACGAGGGGAAGATACGGAAATTCTGACTTTTTTTATATCTTTGGGGGAACCCTCTCGCCTCGCAGGAAGTGAATTTCTCGATCAGAAATAGAAAGGGAAGGCCTGGAGAGGTTTGAGACCGAAGATTTAATACGTAGAGACTCAAGGATTTCCCTGCCGAATCCAGATTTGTGCAGCCGAAAACTTTGCTTTTCGAGAACTCAGGAGTGCACAAGGGGCCGTTTTTGGTGTGAGCCACGACTGGATGGAAGGAGTTCGTAGAAAGAGACGAGATCTCCTTGGCGTGCTCACGGAGACGGTCATTCACGCAGCGCCCCGTCTGATCGATGTACCCGGCTCCGCACGCAGGAGGAATGCTATTCACCTTCTCCCTTGTGCAGGGCCAAAAGCATTGGCCGGAAGCACTGTGCATGTTTTTTTTGCGCATGCAGTGGAGGTTCTGGGTTGATTACGCGCTTGCACATGCCTCCCAATTTAAATTTAAATGTGAAAATAACTCTGGTGCCGAATCTATGTGCAAGCACGCGCACTCAGTGTGCCGTGCTGAAGGAGCAAGAGATGCAAGCAGGGTGGGTAGACCGGGGCCTGGAGGGGGTCTCTTTAGGACGGCTCCTAGACAGCAGTATGAGTTTCTTGCTGACGGTATCTATGAGGTCTCCTGGGTAACCTGCCCTCCGGAACCTGGTGGCCTGCAGCAACCGGTTCCTTCTGGTTTGTGACAGCATGAAGGTTTGCAAGACCTGTAAAGGAGATACTGAACAATTCCAAACTTAACGGTTTTCGAATGATGGCTAGAGAGAGGCAGGACAAGTTTCTCGGAGCGCTGTTGAAAAAACCAGCATGGACCGTGAGATCGGTGGATTAGTCGAATATCGAAGAATTGGAGGCCCTCCTGAGTAAGATCTATTTTTTGGAGGTGAGGTCGCTGCCGTTAGTTTGAATGCCTGAAGAATGGAAACATCTGAGATGGACACATAGTTAAGGACCATGTAGTCGTCAACGTATCAGAAGATCTTACATTCATTTCGAGTGCGAGCTATATGCTCCTTCACCACGCGATTCACAAAAATAGATAAATCTTGCTGAGGGTCGGCGGGAGGCAGGAACTGATACACACCCCGACCTCTCAATGAAGACTCCTCCCTAGTGCTCAACCAAAGTCGAGCCGAGGTAGAGCCGAAGGAGATCGAGGAAGCCTCCAACCGGGATTCCGGACGCGTTTTGTAACTTCGTCGTACCATGCAGGTCAATTGCCTCAGGTACACAGCTCAAAACAACTCCGAGGTCGAGATTGCATTACATGTCCTCGACATCCATCGATAACATGTTGTGGTCTTGATCGAAGTGCAAAGGTCAAATAAAATCAATCACCTCATGGGAGCCCTTAAAGCGGAAAGTGCGGGGGAGATTGATAGAAAAAGAGTGCTTTTGTACGTAAAGGGCAAGAGGTTTCTGTCAACACCCCCCCCCCCCTTTCCTAGATTATGCTTCGAAGGGGAATGTTTGGCTTGTGCGTTTTTGCCGTGAAGATGTAAAGGTGGTTGTTTCGATGTGTTTCGATGGAAGACACGAACGAGCCAGTTCTGGGAAGCATAAGAACATGTTTGTTTATTCAGTTGTCGTATTTGTAGGGTGTTATAAGAAAAAGGTAAAAAAGAGGTAAAGAGTGAAGTTGCTACAGAGCGTGCGTCACGATAACAGAGTGGGAGCCCCGATAATAAGCTCGGCGCGTGCCCTTAACTTAGCAAACATGATACATCTTCCTTTCTTTAAATGAAAAAAAGTACAGCATGTCGACAGCGTAGTAGCTCGACACTCGGTGCGGGAACACTTGTCATGAGCCTTGAACAAAGTTCTCGCCATAGCCTAGCCACTCTGGAGGTCTTCTGTTGCGTGTGGACCTTCTCAGCACTGGTGCTGTCATGGCCACGCTGCCTGAGGGTCGTTGAAGTTATTCCAGTGTCTCGTCGTTTGAGTTTTCTTCATCCGACGAGTATTCTTCGGAACGGTGGAACTGTTCTTTCGTTGCGCGCAGATGCTGGCGATTACGTCGTAGAACGTTGCCATTTTCTGTGTGCGACCTGATAAGACCTGGGCTGCGTCCTGTTGATTAGCTTCGCCTTCATTGCTCATGTGTCACCCTTGATGTGGACCACTTGTCCTTCTTGCAATGCTGGAAGATGACTCCTCTTCGGCTGCGTCTGACGACGCTTGTCTACTACTATGCGTGGTGTTTCGTTGAATTCTGGTATTGGCGTCCGCAGTTGTCGGCCTTGAAGCTGCTCTCCTGGAGACTTGCCGTCTTCCAAAAGACTGGACCTGTAACTGAGCAGTCCAAGCCAGAAATCGTTTTTTCCTTCGGTCGTTTTCTTAAGAGCTCTTTTAACCACCTGCACCCCCATTTCCGCTTGGCCGTTCGAGCGAGGAAACCTAGGGCTGGAAATGGAGTGTTTAAAATCGTAGTTCTTTGCAAAGCTGGCAAATTCTCGGCTCGTGAACAGCGGCCCCCCATCGGTACACACTTCTATTCGGATGCCATACCTTGCGAACGTCGCACTTAGCCTTTCGATGACTGTAGCGGTTAATGTGTCGCGCAGCAATTCTACATCTGGGAAGTTTGATAATGCGTCGAACGCGCACAGGTAAGACCTCCTGGCATACTCAAAAATGTCGACACCGATTCTGTACCAAGCGTACCCAGGAGCAGGACGTATAATGAGAGGCTCACTATACACTCCCAGAAAAAAAGGGTGTATTATTACACCCTTTGTCCCATATAATACAACCCAAAACTGCAATTCAACGTACAGCGCCCTACTATCGAACAAACGGCCGCAAATATTATAAGGGGCTTGATAACCGTGTGGTAAAACTCATTAAGATAGCTAATGTACGTATTATTGACTACAAAAAAAAAAAGATTATCGAAGTTTTCTTGGCCCTGCTGCAAAAACTCCATGTTTTCTTTCTTTGCTCTTTGATACGTACTTTAGCAATTTATAAAGTTATATCGCACCGTTATCAAGCCCCTCGTAAAATTTGGGCCCGTCTGTTCGATTATAGGGCGCTGTACGTTTAAATGAAGTTTTGGGGTGTATTATATGGGACAAAAGGGTGTAAGGTGATACTTTTTTTTTAGAATGTAGGTTGCTTGTAAGCGTACTTTCGGCAAACTTCGCACTTGCTCACAAGGTCGTCAATGTCTGAATTAAGACCAGGCCAAAAGACGACACGGCGTGCTCGTGATTTGCACTTGTTAAGTCCCATGTGCCCATCATGAATTCTGCGCAGTATCTCAGGACACATGCTGGTTTGTATCACAAATTTGCAGCCTTTAAACAACACAGTGTTCACCACTGATAATTCCAGTGAGAAGGACCTAAGCTGTCCTACCGGACGGTTGGCTTTCATACATTCCATGACGCTCTTCAAATAACTGTCATTATTCGATTCTTCCGATTACCCTACCCGAGTCGCTTCACTGACGATTGAAGACGCAAC